AAGTTTTTGATCAACTAAACATTGTTTAAAATGCCACCAAATAATATCATATTCATAAAAACATATTCAAGGATTTGGATTTCAGCAAATTGGCTTCCTGTGAAATGATTAAGAGTTTTTCAGAGAATGAAAGTTTTTCAGAGGTGAAAGTAAATATTTTCCTAAATAATGTTTCTTGGTTTCTATACCTTTTCTCTCATGCCTCCCACCACCGTCTAGTCTTTGTTGGCTTTGGGAGCAGGATCCATCTGACTGACAGAGTGTATGGGCTGGTGAGAGACTTCCCTGAAGGACTGACGTTGTCTGGGTATGGTAAGACAAGGGAGAGTACATTGATAGGAAAATCAGAGACGGAGAAAAATAGGGGTTATCAATTGTATGGCTCTGAAAGAGTTAAGGAACTGGACTTCCACTTTGCAACTGAATTAACTTCAGGAATATGGTAGCACTTTTTGATAGAAACTTTATAGCAACTCTTGTCATAAGAGAGACTGACTTGCACATCTTTCTCTGAGGGATATGGATCCTCTAAATCTATTGATCTCAAATTATGCTCTGCAGTAGGGTCTGTTGAAGTGCCTGCTCCCCCCACCAAAAAAATTCAAATGTCAAGGCCTTACCAGTTGAGGGTATCTGAGGGTAAATCCCAGAATTCAAAATTTTAATAAATATTCCATGTGATTCCTATACATTTTGAAAATGAATGAACCGTCATTCTGTTTATCAAAGAGCAGTTAAGGATATGGTGGTACTGGACAGTATAGAGAAGTAGAGAAGTAGACCAGGCAACTGTCTTTCCAGTTTAGGGCATGTTGTCATAGGCACTGAGCTTTGGTGGGCCTAAATAAGCTAATATAAGAAAGGAGACATACATTACATGATGCCAGTAGTAACAAACAGTAAAGCATTGAAATATTACTCAAAATATTGCTGAGTAACCATCCATAGGCTGCCTCTGAGATTTCTCAAGTTCTGATAAATAGCTTAGCTGAATCCTTAGCTTTGTATCCTAACCAGAGACTAGTGAAGAAGCCAAACTAGAACCTAAAAAATAACTAATGCTCATTAGAGATGACAAAGTCTAATTAGCCTGAACTTTCAGTTACTTGGAATTCTCAAGAAAGAATTTAGTCTTCTGGTGAATAGCTACAGGTCTTTGCTGAGCACACCTAGAAATTCTTGACAGGAATGATAGGTAGGTGCTAGGTCCTTTTTCTTATGAATACAAACAGAAGATGCTAGAAAATGCACATCTAGCTAACCCAAGGGGAAGTAAAGAGTCTATGTATGTATGTATGTATGTATTAATTTATTTTGAGATAGAGTCTCAAGTTATCACCCTGGGTAGAGTACCGTGGCATCACAGCTCACAGCAACCTCCAACTCCTGGGCTTAAGCAATTCTCCTGCCTCAGCTTCCCAAGAAGCAGGGACCACAGGTGCCCACCACAATGCCCAGCTATCTTTTTTGTTGCAACCATCATTGTTGTCTTAGCTGACCTGGGCCAGGCTTGAACCCACCAGCCTCAGTGTATGTGGCCGGCGCATTGCCGACTGAGCTATGGGCACCGCTTGGTTCTATGTTTTTATTAAGAGTGTTAAATGCCTGCTAAAGGCCCTGCTTTCTAGGAAGGTACTAAGATCCAAGAATTTTATTATAGTTCTGAGAAGGTATCAGAAGATTGACAGGATACATAACAGTACAGATTAGTGAGTGAAAACAGACTGCACATCTTTGGGCCTTGCCCTTGCTCTTCCTTATGTGGCTTATAGTTCATTTCACAACAGATTTGTGTTAATAAAATCTTACTTCTCCTTTATCAAGCAAGAGAGGAAAAGCACTAACTCAGTACTATGCTATTTATTTTATCTATCACTAATAATCTTCATGACAACCTTGCGAGAGAGCTTAATTAACTCTATTTTACAGATTAGGAATTCTGTCCTTAGAGAAAAGAAGGATGTTGACTGGATATGAGATTCTTGGATCCCAGTGCTTTTTGCTCACTATTTGACTATCTCTATCACTAAGTCCTTGGCTAGATTTTAAATTTCTGCTGTTCAGTCAAACCCCTCCTGTATTCCACTGCTTATGAAAACCCAAATACCATGCAAGGCATCTGCCTAGAGAGTAGAAGATCAGTTCTATTTAAGCTGAACTTTCATTCTCTTTCTTTTCTGCTTGTTCTGTGGCTCCTGTCTTGGTTCTAAGACAGGTGTCCTCAAACTACGGCCTGCATGCCACATGCGGCCCACTGAGGGCATTTATCTGGCCCACTGGGTGTTTTTGCCACTGCTGCCCATCATGCTTAGCAGCTGACTTGTCCCGGGGCCTGCAGTCCGGCCCGCCAATGGTCTGAGGGACGGTGAACTGGCCCCCTGTTTAAAAAGTTTGAGGACCCCTGTTAATTTCTCCAGTCCTTTACTGAAGAAAAATATAATTCTCTTGTCTCCGGATCTAAACCTCTTAGAGAATCACTTTTTCTTCAAGAAGAACAAAAATCCATTAAGGAATATACATGTTTTTCTACCAACATGAATATGTTACAGAGTCTCAAGGAGCAAGTGGGAAACCAGTTAAATGCTCATTAGTTATGCTATACAGCATTTTACCATGTCACAACATTAGCACTTGCTGTTATTCTCCATGAGGCCAGTGATACCCAATTTCTTGAACTAGGACCTAGGGATGGGTTATAAAGAAGCAGGCAACCAGAATATTTTATATTCTATAGGTAGTATTTTATACTTTATATTCTGTAGGTATTTTAATATTAAAATTCTACCTGCAATTAATCAAAGGCAATAAATTTAAAATAGCCCTTGCAGTAATTTCTATATGCCACAAGAGGGAGATATTGCTCTACAAAAGAGGGGGGAAACACACTTTATAGATTTTACAATTCCAAAAAAATTTTTTTTCCTGACTTTCCAAGATACAGAAATACACATATTTCTGAGAGATATGTAAAAATTTTGTTAATTTCTCCTTGATTCATTATGAGTAAAAAAATTTTTTTTACTAAAGGTTTGCAGTTGATCAAAAGAAATATCCATAAATGGTCTGGTCCTCATTATAGCTGTTAACTTAGTACACTACCTATAGCCATTCAAAAACTATTGTTGTCTAGTATCTTTTTGGACAACTTGGAGGGAAGTGGACACCATTCTTCTAAGTGCAACATAACTAGAATGAAGAAACAAACACATGTACTCAATACCAAATTGGAACTAATTGATCATCACTGAAGTACACATGTGGAAGTAGATTTCAATGAAAATCAATCTGACAAGAGTAGGGAGGGGATGGGTAAATTCACAGCTGTTGGGTACAGTGCACACTATCTGGGTGAAGGGCACAGATATTATGTGTACAACTATGACTAGATCTGTACAAAAATAAAGTATGTGAACAAAACCTGTGTACCCCCTAATTTTCTGGAATAAAAAAATAAAATAAAAAACAGATTGATCCTTCACTATTGGGGGAAAAACATACAGATGTGGAAAAATAAAATAAAATACATTTACCAGACATAATAGTAATTTATGCAAATAATCTAAGGTATTGATTAATAAAATTAAAATGCTGCCATTTTCTCTTTAAAAAACTATCCGTTGTTATTTCTGATCAGTAATATAGAAGGGCTGTTGGTCTAGCAGTGTTAAATGGGTGCAGGCTTTTTCAGAAGGAAAGAATCTGGTTCTGTACCTCTGGACTATATGAACTTAGTGTTATTTGCATTAAAGGGAAAAATATTAAATTTTCTCTTACAGGGTTGTTGCAAGACTAAGATAAGGTACATGAATTTAATTTGCATACTGTGTATATTTAATTAAAGACAGCATTGTTATTATAATCTTAAGTTCTACCAATTTAGCTGAGTGTTACATTTTAATTTTCAGAAAAAGTGTCCTTGGTTTTTCACAAGATTTCTGTTTTCCTAAGTATTTTTGAAATAAAAATTCAGCAGGAATTCTGAGAAAAAGGTTATTTCTAAGCATGCTTTGGACCTGCTTTACATTTTAAAGGATAAATATTTGAATGAATGAAAAGCCAATGAACGCGCTTTGTAAAGTTTAAAACATATAAATTTAAGCAATGTATTAGAGATTAAAATGAACTATCAACAAGGAAAAGATGTCATGTCACTAAGGATACCCAGAAGAAAAAGTTAGGTCAGCCTAATGAAGTTTCATGTTCCTTGTGGGGTAATTTCATGGATTTTCTGTTGCATTTTATACATATTTTATATGTGGGTATGTATATAGGTGTGTGAATGCTATGTGTGTGCATATGTGTGTCTGTATATTACAGAGGAACTAGAATAAGGATGTTTCTAGATTAGGGTCACCAGACATCCCGCTTTTGAACAATTTGTCCCGCGTTTTAAAAAAGTCCCGATTTTTGGAAAGAATACACGAATGGCGAGAGAGCAGGAAGGGAATATTCGGTTTGCAGCTGCCATGTGGCTATTTCTCCAGAATATGAGTTTGATATTATTTTTGTTAATTTTATAATGTTAAACTGTAATAATAATAAATAATTGTTGAGAAGTGATTATCGAGAACTGCTTATCAAAGTTTGCATTGTTGTCAGGCCCCGCCCCGCCCTACCCCCTGGCCATGTTGTCCTGCTTTACAAATGTTAAAATCTGGTCACCCTATTCTAGAGGTGTAGAAGACAGGTGTTTCTGTGTTAAATGGCTCTTCAGGGCTGTAGGAACAGATACACTCAGGTTTCCATCCAGCCTGACTATTGAGATTCCTTTCCTTCAATTTTGTTTGTTTGTACCTATACTGGAGTAACTGTCCAGCTTTTAAGGAGATCACTCTGATGACTTTATTGTAGGATTCCTTGCATGTAAGAAACAGTTATTTTGAACAAAATATTTTATGTAGACCTTGCCACAGTCTTTTAACGTTTGTTTGGAATATATCTAGGTGAAATGAAGGTAAATAATTTCCTGCAATTATTATTTTTTTTTCTTTTTTACTCACCACTGTCATTTGTTCATAGACACGAATAGAAGATAGTCTATCTACAATAAAGCAGATATAAGCAATTAATATTTTATCAGTTTTAATTCAACTTATAAGACACATTAGGTTACTTGCACACCTGAAGGATTTCCACGGATTTTTGCCATTTTCTCTTTCAGAGAAACAATTTGTTTTTCTAGTTGTTCATTCAGTTCAAGTTGTGTCTCATAACGGGTCTTCCATTCACCACCTGAATAAAAAGGGGGGAAAATCAAGATCACTTCTTCATTTATTCACTACTGCACTTGACTTTATTAGCAATACATATGAACTAGAAGGAAATAATTATTAGGTGTATATTTCTGAGTCAGGATTTTCCAGATTGCAGGAAGTAGACTAGAGCTACATTTAGCCTACCACACAGCCAGATCTCATCACGACTACTGGGATTCTTGGTCTTATTCCCAGCTCCTTTTATCCTGTATCCTTTACTTCCTCATGTACCCTTATAATGAAAACTAAGAGAGAATATCATGAACATAGTTCTTTTCTTGGAACTTGAAATGTCTATATATACATCCTAAACAGTATTAACCCTCTGTCTAATGTCATGTTCATTTTTTTCCTTTGAAAAACAATTCTGAAGTCTGTTTAATAACTATGCATTTGCCATGTGTAATGCATACAATGCTTTACATATGTTAACTAACTTAATCCTCATTTTAAAAATGTTAATTAGTTACCTATTTTACAGATAAGGAAGCTAAGGCCCAGAGATGTCAAATAACATTTTTAAGATGACAGAGCTAATTAATGAGATAACTACTAGAGTTTAAACAACCCATTTTTTTTTTTTTTAATAGACAGAGTTTCACTTTATTGCCCTTGGTAGAGTGCTGTAGTGTCACAGCTCACAGCAACCTCCAGCTCTTGGGCTTAGGCGATTCTCTTGTCTCAGCCTCCCGAGTAGCTGGGACTACAGTTGCTTGCCACAATGCCCAGCTATTTTTTGTTGCAGTTTGGCCAGGGCTGGGTTTGAACCCCCCACCCTCGGTATATGGGACCAGTGCTCTACTTACTGAGCCACGGGCGCCGCCCTAAACCCATTTTTTTTTTTTTTTGACTTTGAAATCATATTCTTTCAACTGGTAAGCTAACGAACTTAACACTGTGTACATTTAGCTGTCTTCACAAGCATTTTCTGTTAACCTTTAGTAGATTTCTTTCACTAACTCCCTTAGGCTATTAAAGCCAAAGCACTTATACCTAGGAGGAAAAGGAAAGTATATTGGGTGGTGCTTGTGGCTCAAAGGAGTAGGGCACCAGCCCCATATGCTGGAGGTGGCAGGTTCAAACCCAGCCCCGGCCAAAAACTGCAACAACAACAAAAAAGGGAAAGTATATCCTGGAATTAAAAGGTCTTTGTTTAGCTTTAAAACCCAAAGCTAACTTTTTCTTAATCTTGATGTCAGGCTTTGTAGAGAGAAAAAGGACAGCTTTTTTTTCAATTTTAAATGTTCTTTACACATCTGAGGTAGTTTCTGCTATGTAAAATTTGATGGAAGAGTCAAAGGAGAGAGTAATAACACACACCAGTGCCAACTTCATCCTGTCACAGGTCTCCCTTATTCCTTCATCTCTATGTAAATGTGATCTACGAAAGAAAGGGGTGGGATGGGCATGATGGCTCTTGCCTGTAGTCCAGCTACTCAGGAGGCTGAGGATTAAATATCCCTTGAGTCCAGGAGTTCAAAATCAGCCCAGGCAGTATTAGTCAAAAACTCAACAAAGAAAAGAAGAGAAAAAGAAAGGAAGAATGAAAAGAAAAAGAAAGAGGCTCAAATAATAAGCCCGCAAACCAAAATTAAGAGTCATTAATTCAAATGTTTAGGGAACAAGAAAGGAGGAGCGTGGACTGAATATTTATCAGTTAGATACTGTAGAGCCCAAATAGATGGAATCATCTTTACAACTGGTTAGCTGAAGTCTTTGTCATTGCATCCCCTTTCCCACAATGGGAATGGGGGAATTCAGAGCAAAATAGCACAATTTATTTTTGGCATACCTAAGTTCAGTTTATAAATTTTGACTCCATTTTACTTTAAAATATTATTGACCTAAAGGTAATCAAGTAGAGATAAGCCTAATAGTATATCATTATATGCTAATGTTAATGAGTGTAAAGGTCTTGGTGGTGATGACATTGATATTCATGTTTCTACTTGTGATGAACTGATCTCCAAATGTATACTGAAATGTGTATTCCTTCAGTGTACACAGTTGGCTCTGGATTATAGAAGACAAAATAACAAAGATAAAAGCACACATACTATTGAATTAAGAAGAAAATTTAAAAATTGCAGTGTATATTAAAAAGGGAAGAAAATAGTCTTATGTTGCTATAGGGCAGATTTATGACTTTCATGGGCCCTTAGCACTAAAAGGCTTTATGAGCCCTTTCCTCATAATATTAAAAATTATATTTTACTACTGTATTGGTATAAACACAAATGTAATCCAGGCCATCATATTTATTTTTTTTCTTCTGATTGTAAAAGAAAGATAATTCATAAGCCTCTAAAAGTATCATAAACCCTATATAATGTACCCACTGTGCTTAATAGATAACCCCGCCCCTGGGTAGCTATAAAAGTAAGCTTAGCTTGTGCCAGGTCAACTTCCTAATAAAGAACACAAATTAATCAGAGTTCAGAGCAAAGAATAATCTGGTCTCAAGCTATCTAGCCAATAGGTAATCATTGAGATTGATTTCCAGAGTTTTAATTTGATATACCTTTGGCATTTTGTAAATAATTAATATCTTCATCTAATCTATCCCACTAGTACTAATTATTGCTGCAATGCCAAACCTAACCTAAGAATGCACTGGTGTTTTGATAAATTATAATAAGGAGGGATACACATAAAACTGATGAATGTGCTTTAGAAAAATCTTAAGAGGCATGAAGTAACTGAGCCCACAGATGAAAGAAAAAGACAAGATAGAGATATCAAATAAATTATACCATTTATTCATTCCAAGTCAATTATGTCCATAACCCTAGTAAGATGTGTATGTTATTAACAATTTTTTAATTAAAATATACCTGATGTGCAACTGCATAAAAATTAAGAGTATAAAACTCACCAAAACCTGCAGTCCTGACTAAAATACATGGCTAATACTAAAGTAAATGTATTGCAATTTCTAATCTCTGAGCAAGTGGATGAAGGCCTACAAAACTAGAGATTATGCAAATTTGTTTATTCTTCACCAAAACAGCACTGGCTCCTACAAATCAGGTCAACTTCATAATTATCAACTGTTTTCTTTTTCTACAAAAAAGACTACATTGGGGCTTACTCCACCTAACATACTTTATTCTGTGGTAATGCAAAAGTACTGAAAATCTAAAATTTGTAAACTTTGCATCATTCTTCATCTGTCTTTAAAATACCATGATAGTTAAATTATGTTTTCAACTTGGAATAACACTGGAAGTTAAAAATATCAAGTTTCTGGAATAGACTTCATACCACAATACTTCGGAACTGTATGAAACCAGTCCAAGTAAGATATGCATTGTTGTCTTTGAGACTGCCACCATAAACTTGACACCAAAAAAGATGATCCCTTACCTTGAGCATGCCAAGTCAACCTAACAAGGTCTAAGACACATTTATAAAAATCCATTATTTAAAATACAGGTTACAAGGATAAACATTTATCAGAAACATTTATGTCTCTTAGAGGGGGAAAAAAGAAAGAAAAAAGAACCCTGAGCAAATAGCTCCTTGAAATCATCACTCCTGGAGCAACTCTAAAAATGAAAACCAGGAAAAAGGCATTGTACATTTTTAAGGAAACAACAAACTGTTTTATAATCTTATAGAGGGACGTTAGCTAGAATAAATACAGTGAAAAGCAAAATCAGGTTCGGCACCCATAGCCCAGCGAGTAAGGTGCCAGCCACATACACCAAGGCTGGCAGGTCTGAGCCCAGCCTGGGCCTGCTAAACAACAATGACAGCTGTAAAATAGCCGGGTGTTGTGGCGGGCACCAGTTGTCCCAGCTACTTGAAAGGCTAAGGCAAGAGAATCGCTTAAGTCCAAGAGTTGGAGGTTGCTGTGAGCTGTGACACCATAGCCTTCTACCAAGGGTGACATAGTGAGACTCTGTCTCCAAAAAAAAAAAAAAAAAAGCAAAAGCAAAGTAAAAATTGTAAAATTCTAGAAGTTTGAATCATGGTCAATTCCATGAATTGATCTTTGAAGGGGAGACCAATAAAGCAGGAGGAAATTAGATGGACCCCTATCTTTTAGATGTACAATTTTATTTTTAGTTTTTATTTTACCAAAGACATGTAGCAGTGTTAAAGAACAGAATTAAAGGGCCCCTTGAAACAATGATGCCAACTCATACACTTTAAAATGTTAAGAAGAATACAGTCAAATTGGTTGTAAATTGACTGTCTTAGTCCATTTTGTGCTGCTATAACAAAATACCCAAGGCTGGGTAATTTCTAAAGAACAGAATTTATTGATATTTTTCACAATTCTTGAGGCTGAGAAGTCCTAAAGATCAAGGTATCATGCATTTGGTCTGGTAAGGGCCTTCTTGCTATGAAGGTAGAAGGGCAAGCTAATCAAGTACTTTAGGAAATCTCTTATAAAAGAGATTTTAATGGGCAGTGCCTGTGGCTCAAGGAGTAGGGCGCTGGTCCCATATACCAAAGGTGGTGGGTTCAAACCCAGCCCTGGCCAAAAAAAAAAAAAAAACTGTAAAAAAGAGATTTTAATTTCCTTAATCTCATTAAGGAAAAAGGAGCCCGCCAAACAACAATGATGGCTGCAACCAAGAAATGGCCAGGCGCTGTGGCGGGCGCCTGTAGTCCCAGCTACTTGGGAGGCTAAGGCAGGAGACTCGCTTGAGCCCAGGAGTTGGAGGTTGCTGTGAGCGTGATGCCATGGCACTCTACCCAGGGGGATAGCTTGAGGCTCCATCTCAAAAAAAAAAAAAAAAAAGGAGCCTTCATGGCATAGTCACCTCTTAAAGTGTTTACCTCATATCATCATATGGGCAACATCTGAATTTTAATTGTTAGTAACTATATTTATAATGAGTACAGCAATGAAATTATGTTAATTTGAAAAGGGTTTATAAAAGAAGAAAATGTTTTTATTGTAATAAGGAAAGGAACAAATCTAATGTGGCAACATACTAGGCATTAGGGACATGAAACTAAAAT